AATACTTGGTCTATTTTGTCTGTGAGAATTATTTATATATATATATATATATATATATATATATATTTTCCCTCTCCTACTATTTAAATATGAATATATAGGATTATAGAAAATGAAACCATGAATTCACACGACTATGGCTCTTTTAGCTAATGTTGATCGCTAATTTGGCTCCTGAACCACTGAAGTCTGAGTATCCCTGTCCTAAATGCACCTTGTTTCCTGTGTCTGACAGAGCATCTGTCCGATAAGTAGCAGCATAGGTGTGATCCACCTTGTGGGATGTTTCCCACAGGCAGTGTTACGGGATTCAGATTTAAATCCCTGCATGTTAATGTGTCTGGAGAAGCTTCTTGGATCAACTGTACTTCCTGAATTGGTTTCCTTAACTAATCATTTTGTAAATGTTTCATAGTAACAAATTATTATCGGTGCTAAGACTAGCATGAAGTTGGCTTTAAAATAGGAGAATGCTGAAGACCGTGTTTTCACTGCATCATGCTGTAGTTAGGTGCTGTGGCTACGGGCTTGTCACATGCAAACAAATAACAATTTATTGAACAGACAGGGTGTTGGCCAAAGGAAGGCGAGTCTTGTACTCTGCTCGGAAGACTTAACAAACTCTGCCTCTGGCTTGCCTGAACAGCGAGGGAATCCACAGTGGGGGACCATCTGAGAACATTTTGCCTCCAGTTCTCCAGCATCTGGGGACTGCATCTTAGCAGCCATGAGGACAAATAGGAAGCGGCCGTTCCTTAGGCAGCCAGATTGAAAAACTGCTTGAATTTTGCCTGGAAACAGACCAAGGTTAGATTAGAGTGTGAAGAAGAGGTGTGATGTGCCTGTGCAGAAATACTCCATTAAGCCAGTGGGCCGTGGCTTAGAAGTGGCACCGCTGCAGTGACCTGGTTTGCCAGATGTGTGTCACTTCTAAAGTGCACATCAGGAAGGAAAGGCTGCCACACCTTAGCTAACATTAGCTGGCAGCTTTGTCTTCTCTACATCCTACTCATCAGCACAGACAGGATGTTTTGATAACTACCCAATGCTCTTTGAGGGCTAGGGGCTGCTTTGGACTCTAACTTCCTACCACTGAATCTAGAATTGCATTTTTTTGGTAGAGCTGGCTGGAGCTTTGACCAAAAAAACCCTTCTTGTTCCGAGCCAGCTGTACTTCACTCGCAGGTTGTCCGATGTCAGCAGGGCTGACCTTGTGTCCAGAGTATGTGCCTGTGTCCAGCTACCTTAATACTTAATATTTCATACCCCGTTTTTCACAGCTCATGGTGAATAATGGGCTGCATTAAGAGGTGCTGCTTATAATGAGCTGACTGTTCTGTAAACTGTCACTTGGCTGTGTGCTTGGAAGATCGTGCAGAGAACTCGGAGTGGTTGAAGTAAATGGGCATGTTTGTTTCCTTCATTATTTCTACTTACGATAGCCTGGCTGTGTGTGTCGGATGAGGAAGAGCAGTGGAAACCAAGCACCGTACAATTCTTATTCTTTAATATTAAAGTAGCACCCTCCCGGTTACAACGGGGAGTGGGAGCCCCACTATTCTGGATGCTACACATGTCCCTGCCTCAGAGCTTGCAATGTAAGTAAATGGGACAAAGGGTGGGATAAAGGAAATACTATCCCCATTTTACAGATGAGGAATTGAGGCACATTGACTCATCCGAGGTTACCCAGGAAGTTTGTGGTAGAACTGAACCAAGATCCCGTGAGTCCCATTCCAGTGCTTTATCTCTGGATCATCCATCCTCTGTAAGCATTGTGTGGTGTGTACTGATTTGGAAGGATGGGAGTGATTTCAAGGGAGCCATTTTTCCTGCATCTATTTCTGAAAGTGTTTGTAAACACATCTACTTGGCTGAGAGAGACCTACAGAACAGATGGCAGTATGGTGTATGACCTTTGTCCGGGTGGTGACTGCTCTGAAGATGTGACTGTAGCTTGCTTTCACAGGTTGTCCCAACATTAAATGTACTGTCACATTTAAAAAAAAAAGATTATTGGAAAGTCCTATCCACTAATTTGTAGGGGTGAGAACTATCAACAAGTAATTTATCCATGAGCTTAGCCTCTTTCTGTTAAAGGACATCTTGTGTACGGCAATTTCCTCACATTTTAGAGAAGTTAGATGTTGGGGGTTTTGGTTAAACAATGGGCTGATCAAACAACTCTGCAGTCTGCAAATGTCCACTGTTAGAGCAGTGGTGTCTAATTGTGATTTGCTGCGGGTCACATGGTGTCTAGCTGCATGAGTGCACAAGCATTTCTGCTGCTAATATACAAAGCATAGGGATGAAAACAAAACAGATCATGACACCATTGTGTTCATCAACCTCCCTCTTGTCATTCACACACTTTGTTAGCTCTTCATGGCAAAGGTGTGTGTGTGTGTGTGTGTGTGTGTGTGTCGTCATCCCTAGTTCCAGCACATATATTCACAGTAATGGTAATATGTACTAGCGAGGATGGTCTCATTTTGAATGGAAAAGTTGTGCTCATGATGGTTCCTCCTGTGACTTATTGATTAGCTTCTGTTTAAGACAATACTTTTAACTTCTAAAGTATTAGTCCATAGGCGATAGGTATGTACTGCATACAGAGGAAAACACAATTACCCTTAATACAATCTGAAGACCCAAGAAGGTAGAACATCAACACTAACTAGCACATTACACTGTCAGAAATGTTGCAAGATAAACTTACTCAAATCCTTCAAAAAAAAAAAAAAGTCCTTGTGGCACCTTAGAGACTAACAAATTAATGTGGGCATAAGCTTTTGTGGGCTAGAACCAACTTCATCATGCACATTAGGAATTGTTACTTTAAATGAAAGTTGAGAGATCCTGAATCTAGTTCAGTAATCAAGGAACACCCTGAATGATGTCTCATGTAACATGCTTTTTTCCCCTCGTTTGCATGTTGGGTCATCTCATGGTTTAGGCTTCATGAGGATGGTAATAGAAAATACTTTGAGTCTTGTGCCACATTTAGTTGCTCTCTGTAGTATGCACAGTTGCCAACTTTCACAAATAAGCACTCTGACTTTCACTATAAACCAAAAATCAAGCTAATCCCATTTCAAAACAAGGCCAAACCAAGCCAATCCCTAAGAGCCCCAACCCTATTTGACTAGATCCTCCACCCCTCACCCCACCCCCAGCATGCAGTCTGGGACTGTGGTGGGTCCACTGTGCACCCCTGACTCTCTTCCCGCCAAGGCAGCCGATCCAAAAAAGGCAACGAGCTGCTACAAGCCAAAGAAGCAACAAGCTAAGCCAAAAACTAGCCAACGAGCAACTCCCAAGCCAATTAAGCCAAAAACCAAGCCCAATTTCTGCATTTTGGTTTTTTTTGTGGGTTTGGCATGTGTGGTGGTATGTGGTCATGGACACTCCCCATCTTCTGAAGGCTCACTCCTTTGTCTTGCAGGGTTGATATCTGTACAAGAACTAAGATCAAGTAACATGGCAGCAATCCCATCAAGCGGCTCACTTGTGGCAACCCATGACTACTACAGAAGTAAGAACTGCTACGCTGTCCTTTAACGGGTGCAAAATGGAGGTGCTCACAAGCCACGCGGCAGCCGCTCGGGTGGATGGGTGGGGAAATATATCGATCTAGCGCAAACACTTTTCTGTGGAGTGGGTCTTGCTAAGATAAGTCGCTGAACTCTCCTCTTATCTTGGTAGAAGTTTGTAATGCCCATGTAGAACTGCTCAAAAACACTCAAATTTGCTTTCCAACCACAGTGTATTTATAGGCTCCTCTTTAACTTGCATTTCCAAGGAGCCTAAAGGAGTTGGGTGCTCATCCCTCACTGAATTTCAATGGGATTTGAGCACCCCAACTCCCTTAATGCCTTTGGAAATTCCAGTTTGAATGATCAGTGCTTTAGATAGCTGGGAGGTGAAAACATTATCTCCTATTCTTGCTTACTGTGTGCCCATGCCAAAGCCATTCGCTTCTGCATCCTTTCTCAATGCATAGCCAATGTACCATTTCTCTCTTGACTGTCCCTTTCAAAGAATCACCAACAGAACTCCTTCTAGGACCCGAAGTGTGGATTAACTTAGAAGTATCCGCTGATGGCAATGTCATGGCATTTCTGAAATAAACATGATCCATCCAGGCCCGGCTAAACTCTCCTTAAACAAAGACCACTTTTTGTTCATGCAAAACACATGCCTGACACTGCCGTATTTTTTGTTGAAAAAGGAGGCTAAGAGCCAAGAATGGGGGTGAGTCTTATTTACTACTCAGCAGGGAAATAATGATCCACACTCCCTTAATTGTGCCAGCAGTCTCTGTACTCAACTGTATGAGCTACCATACAAACAAAGGAACAATGATTTCTCAATGGGGGGTTTAACGGCTGTTTTCCTCTTCTTGAAAGCAGCTGCTTCCAGAGTTACCTTAACGTCCCTGAGAGCATAGGGTGGGGGTGGGGTGGGGGGGTGACTAGCTAAACGCTGTGTAGAGCAAATGCTTCTGCAAAAGGCAAAGTAAATAGAAAAATACAGGATGGCCACATGAGCCTCTAGTACAGGGCCAGATCCTCAGGTGGTCTGAGCTAACATAGCTCCTCTGTCCATAAAGCTTTACCAAATACACCAGCTGAGGATTAAGAACACAAGAATGGCCGTACTGGGTCAGACCAAAGGTCCATCTAGCCCAGTATCCTGTCCTCTGACAGTGGCCAATGCCAGGTGCTCCAGAGGGAATGAACAGAACAGGCAATGATCAAGTGATCCATCCCCTGTCGCCCGTTCCCAGCTTCTGGCAAACAGGCCAGGATGGGCGGGGTGGTGTCCCCAGCCTCTAAGTTTCCCTGTAAGCCGCACGGCCGTGCAGCAGTCTATTTAGCGCTACGCAGGCACTTAGGGAACCCGCCTGGGGACCTGCTGGGGGAGGGGTGCCCCTCCCCTGGCCCCAACTCCCAGAGCGGCCTGGCCCGAGTCCCAGCCGGATTGCGGCCGGGGCAGCGCGGCTAGGGCAGCCCAGACCCAGGCGTGGCTGGGGCCAGCCCAAGGCACAGACCTGCTGTGCTGGGGCCGGGGAGGGACGCCTATCCTGCAGCCCAGAGCTCCTGTGGTGGGGACAGGCGCCTCTTCTTCCCTCCCCCCGCCCACCCACCCAGCTGCTGCTGCGGCGCTGGGGGGCTTCTCTCTCCCCCCAGTAGCCCCAGAGCACCCTCCTGCACTCCCAATCCCCTCATCCCTGACCCCACCCGAGATCCCGCATCCCCAGCCAGAGCCCTCACCCCCTGCACCCGACCCTCTGCCCCAGCTATGAGTCCTCTCCCATAATAACCCCTCGGCCCCACCCCCACCACATGAATTTTGTTATGTGACGCATCACCTCCATATTGGTGCACATAACAAAATTCATTCCACACATGGGTGGGAAAAATTAGAGGGAACACTGATCCTAGAGAACAGGTCCATCAATGGCTATTAGCCATGAATTTATCTGGTTCTTTTTTGAACCCTGTTATAGTCTTGGCCTTCACAACATCCTCTGACAAGGAGTTCCACAGGTCGACTGTGCGTTATGCGAAAAGATACTTCCTTTTTTTGTTTTAAACCTGCTACCTATTAATTTCATTTGGTAGCCCCTAGTTCTTGTGTTATGAGAAGGAGTAAATAACACTTCCTTATTTACTTTCTCCACACCAGTCATGATTATATAGACCTCTATCACATCCCCCTTAGTCGTCTCTTTTCCAAGCTGAAAAGTCCCAGTCTTATTAATCTCTCCTCAGATGGAAGCCATTCCATACCCCTAATCATTTTTGTTGCCCTTTTCTGAAACTTTTCCAATTCCAATATATCTCGTGGTCTTCTCCCCACACTCCTGTTAGAGATGCAGGATGGAGGGGGGGAAATTGATACGGTGGGACCTTGTCTCATAAAGCACCTTTCCAGCAAGCTCCTTTTGGCCATGTGGCAACTATTGTGATTTACCCTACGTCAGGCAAGTCCCTCCCGTGCAGGAATGTCTATGCTACAGTAGCGCAGCAGCTGTAGCGCTGTAGGGTAGACGCTTCCTGCATTGATTGACAGAAAAAAACCTTCCATGTAGGTAATCCCTCTCCAGGAGGCAGTAGCTAGGGTGATGGAAGAATCCATCCATTGACCTAGCTGTGTCTATGCTGGGGATTAGGTTGACCTAACCACAGTGCTCAGGAGGCAACACTTTTCACCGCTCTGAGCAACTTAGTTGGGTCAAGCTAAATTTTAGGCATAGCCCAGGCCTCTGTCTCACCCACACTAGAAGGGGAGACTCCCAATGTGCATCAAACCAAAACCTTCCCCCTCCCTCCATGACCTAGACTCCTACACAAGGATTATACTTGTGTCTTGCAAGAAATGGAGTGTGGGTTACGGTTACTTGTATCCACTTGCTGAGTGAGATGTTCCATAAAGACCTTTTCCAAATGGTTTTGTAAGGTGTTCCAACCTGTGGCATTAACCTGCTGCTGCTTGTAATTACCTACTTTGCTGAGAAAGCTATTTGAGGTTATTCTTTGTCCTGCGGGTGTGAAGGAATCTATTCTTAAAACACTGTGCCAGAAAATCTCGTAAAGGAACACTTACAAATATCTCCAAATGTGTGATGGCAGACTAACACGTCCTTCAAACATGCTCTCCTGCTTGCTGGCTAGGGCGGATGCCATTAAAAGGCTGGCACATACCAGCCGATACTCAGAACAGGACATTAGCTGGTATGGAAACTGGTACCCGAGTCTAAGAAGCAGTAACGTGGCGAATACTTTCTTTAATGGCAAACCTTGTACTACCTGCAGTGAGGATGTTCATTACAGCAGTAGATCTAATATTGGCAGAGGGGAATGTTGGTCTGATGGGATGCAATCTCGTTCACAGGGCGTCTGGGTTCCACTTCCAGCAACAGCTCCTGTGGAAGTGCTGAATACTCTGGGGAGGTTATTCCTCACCATCCGGGTAAGCACCTCTCCTACAGCCTGGACTCTCTGGCCCAGCCTCCTATGGAGGGGAACTCTTGTGGTCAAAACGCTCTTGTACCATCTCCTTAATTTTAATACAAAATAAGCTACCCTCTCCACAGCTCTTCAGAGGATCAGTGTAGCTTCAAAAACATTCAGTGCTAACTAAGTACATTCTCCATGGGTTATACAGATCCATTTATAATGGCAGAAAAATCCCTATAGAGAGAGAGAGACTGCATAGAAGAGAACTGAAGTTGTAGTAGCTGGCGTCTACTCCTTCATGAGGCACCACTGTAGAGTGCCAGCTTCTTAATTTGCCCTCTTGCTTGCATGTGTAGCAAGACCACCGTGGTAATTAGGGAAGTAACTATTTCTGCTGTACCTCCTAATCAAGCTCCCTATACCTAGCGGTCATATTTCATAAGTGTTTGCTTTTCAGGTCTTCCCAAGTCTGACCCCGGTCACTGGTGGGCTAGCTTCTTTTTTGGAAAGCCAACCCATCCCATCATGACAACTGTGTCAGAATCCCCGGAGAAGTAAGTGGTTTGTTTTTAGCTCACTCAGAATATGGTAATGGGGATAAACTAAGAAGCTTGAAGGGTGGCTTGGGATATTGGAATGGCGAGGACAAGGGAGGGCTGTGTTGTGGAGGAATACAAACTGTAACTTCTTATAATTCTGCTTAGTTGCATTCTGCACTGCATATCTAGAATACTTTCCAGATGGCCTCTCCTGAAGTGCTTTGAATCTTAACAATCCACCCAGCAGCAAAGAGCTAATAGGAATCACTGTAGCTGGGGGAACGGTAGCACTGTCATTATTATTATTATTATTAGACGATACTAGACCTAAAACTCTGAGGCCCATATCCTCCTCAGCTGCCTAACTCCCATGGGAGTTAAGCACCTAAATACCTTTGAGGATCTGGGCCTGTCTCTTCAGATGTTGTGGAAGATGGAACATCTGTTTAACTGGGTGGAGTAGGGGAAGCTAATGGTTTGTTTGAAATAAATGGGCTTTTTGTGTAAAAGCCATCATGAACCAAATGACAGGGTGGGTTAGGGACCAACTTCTGTTGGTGAGAGAGAGAAGCTAATTTCTCTAATATCCTGGGACTGACCCGGCTACTACAACATGCATGTCATGAACAGAAAGTCCTTCTCTGTCTGCTGAATTCTACTACAAGTTCTAGAGGAGGAAAGGATTTATTTTTCCTTTGTAGCCATTGAAAATTGGTACAATAAAAGGACCAAATGTAATGGCCCTCAAGGAAAGTGTCCTCAAAAGTTTTTAGTGGTCAGACCCAAGAAGTGCAGGAAAAGAGCCAGAGATTAAATGCTAGGGGGGTGATTCCAGGCCTACCTTGCACAGGCAGCAGCAGTAGAAACTGCAGGTGTGGATGTGGATTAACTAGTTTGTGTGCACACAGGGTTGCATGCGGCCCTGTGGATGCAGCAAATCAAGGGGGCGGGAGAATAGCTTTGGCTGTCTTAGCCAGTAAACAGTGGAGCTGTTGCTACCAATAAGAGACTGTTGTCAGGTACACAGCTTTTTGTTGCAGATGTTGCTCACTGTAGCCAGGAAGTGCTGCCCAATCTGGAGCAGTGATGGCTCAGTTTGGGTGCTTCCACTGTCTCTCTGGACTCGGAGACAGTCAGTAGAAGTCTGTCCTGGAATCACTGCAGTGGGAACGTATGCGGAGTTCTAATGAGAGAAGGGAACTGCAGTTCACCAGCCTTGTATCCGAGGCAGCTGTGTCAAAGATGGCTTGCTTCTCTCGTTTTCCCTCACCCCGTGTCTCTCTTGTCTTTCAGTTCAGGAACTTTCCAGGTGGCCAACGGCATGATCACTTGTGGCCTGGCTCAGGAAGTAATGAGGAAGCGCCACGCCAGTGAGCCTAGCAAACCGAGCGCTGGGCCGTCTGCGTGAACAGGCTGGCACATCTCCCTGCTGCCCGCCTGGTTGCTGCTTCTGATCCAAACGCTAGGAGTCAGAGCCCATTTTCCACTCCCCTTCCCCGTAGAGTAGACAGGCTGCGTTAAGTATTTAGATGTAGGGTTTTTAAAAAAAAATAATAAAAAAAAAATTTTTACACCATCTTTGTACCGTTTCATTAATTTGACTGTATTCTTTCCATACAGCCTTGGTAACGCTTTTTGTTTACTTGTTCAATGGAAACTAATAAACTTAAGCAGCCTTTAAAATGCTGTGTGACTTTAATTCTTTTTCTCTCCAATGTGAGCTCTGCCCTTCGCTGAGTGCTACTGCTCTGTCGTGGAGGGGCTGCTGTTACCCGGGGTTCTTTCAACCCAAAGCTCTTGGGAACTTTTACTCTGTGCGAGGTGGTGTCAGGAAATAAATGAGAGGACACACGGCCGTCCGACCGATAGATGGGTGCCACAAACAGGACCACACGAGTGCTTTCACTTAAAGCTAAACTTTACTTACACAGATCTGCAACCGGTTAGTAAAACACCCCCAACCCTCAATAACTGAAGCTGAGCGTGGCTTTCAAGTGGCACCATAACAGGCTTCTGCTGGCTAGGCCTCCGTCTGCCGGTGGGGACCCTAAAATGCAGCCAGAGGGAGTGTCCCCAAAGAGCCCTTCAGAGTAAGTCCCATTACCTAGGGTTACCATATTTGAACATTCAAAAAAGAGGACACTCCACGGGGGGGGGGGCTTTGTTGTTGCAGCTGCCCTCCTGGACATTTTTACCTATTTAAATAGGCTTACCATATGTCTGTATTTTCCCGGAAAATTTTTCCAGACAGTTTAAGAACCAAAAAGCCTGACAAGTCCAGGAAAATACGGACGTATGGTAACCTTACCTAAAGTTCTTTTTTTTAAAAGAGGAGCCTGAACTAGAAATGAGCTCCGTTTCACATGTGGGTCCCAGCTGCTCCCTGCCCCCTCATTGAAGCAGGTGTGCAGGGTTACTGCCCTGGGAACTGCAGGGCACCAGTGGATGTGCGGCTGGCTGCAGGCGGGCAGGGGTAGGGCTAGCTGGAGGCAGGGGGTGCGAGGCTGGCTGCGGGAAGGTTAGGGGGTGCGGAGCTGGCTGGAGACGGTGCGGGGTTGGCTGCAGATGGGGCGGGGGCGGCTGGCTGGAGGCAGGGCAGGGGCTGACTGGAGGTAGGGGCTGGCTGCAGGCAGGGCAGGGGGTGTGGGCATAGGCACCGACTCCATGGGTGCTCGGGCTGGAGCACCCACGGGGAAAAATTGGTGGGTGCAGAGCACCCACCAGCAGCTTTTCACTGCCCTGCCCCAGCTCACCTCGCCTCCGCTTAGCCTCCGCCTCCTCCCCTGAGCATGCGCTGCCACCACTCCGCTTCTCCCCCCTCCTGCGCAGGCTTGCCGCAGAAACAGCTGATTCGTGGCACGCCTGGGAGGGAAGTGGGAGACGCAGAGCAGCGGCGTGCTCTGGGGAGGAGGCGGAGGTAAGCTGGGGTGGGGAGCGGTTCCTCCCCTGCCCCCCCGGATTGCTTCCTTTCCTGCAGCCCTCTTCTCCCCACCCCACCCCCAGCTCCCCTCCACTCTGCCTTCCCCCCTCCCTTCCAGGCTTGCTGCAGAAACAGCTGATTTGCAGCAAGCCCGGGAGGGAGGGGGGTGAAGGGGAAATGCGGTGAGCCTGGGGGAGGAGGCAGGGCTGGGGATTTGGGGAAGGGGTTGGAATGGGGGTGGGGTGGGGGGCACAAGCACCCACCGGCTAGGCTTACCATGCCTCCCTATTTTCCCAGACATGTTCAGCCTTTTGGAAATTCCTCCCGGACGGCGATTTGAGAACCAAAAAGCCGGACATGTCCGGGAAAATACGGAGATATGGTAACCCTACTGTTACCTCAAACTCTTTCCCTTTATTTATACATCAGTAATACAATGACACACCCCTTAACCCTGCTTGCTTGGCAAGTTTTCTTTAAAAGGCCAAGCAAGAGATTTCCTTATGGCCATCAATTTACCAGATGTGTTTTGTTTTTTGTTTGTTTTTTCCCCCCGAGAATGTCCATGCCTTGGCTCCCTGACAAACATTCCCGGGGGCACATAGAGACTTCCTGTTTTTCTAAAATACATAGATCAGCATTCTCAGCAGGAAGGACGCAGGGTTAAGCTGCCCTGTCTGTGGCACCCACAACCCCCTCCCCTCCTCTCTTGGTTATGCTGAGGCCACTGCGTGACCAATTTACAACCGGCTGACTTGGCTGCTGTTAGCAACACACAATAGTGGTTCAGGCACTTTACTGGTTTGCCAAAATTTCCCTGTACACTGCTGCTAGCCTCATGCCCGCGAGTGTTTCACACATGGGACAGGGACCTGAACCCATCTCCTGGCTTCATGCTAAATGAATTTCACCTTCGCTCAGTTTCTCTTCAATCTTGGGGACAAGGAGGGGAGTTCCTCTCTGGACTATGGCTACTTAGACAGTGACAGTATGCTTGACAAACCGCAGCTCGGGTTTAAGCAACCCCCTCAAAGTGCAGGCTTTTCCCTGGAATTGTGAACGTGCTCGATTAAGGCTTTGAAACCCCTTCGCTGCTTCTCCTCAGAACAGGCAGCTGTCTCTGCAGCCTTCCATGGTGGCCAGCCATGTCACTAGGTTGTCCTTTTTCCAGGTGATAGCCCCCCTCCAGTGTACCTGGTGTAGACTATCACTTGCCTTGCACAAGGCACAGGTAGGCGAGGACGAAGGCTCTGCCATCTGAGGAGGGGGTAGCATGATGTACTCCAGTCACTTTTCAAGGCCACTTAATTGTACTGAGGGAATATGAAGCTTTTTTTTCCTATTCAGTCATGATGAGGCAAAGAACAGAGTAATTCTTTCCTGATCATTTGGTTCTAGCAGTAGCCTGTTCTCAGCGTCTGACCCATTGCTAATAAAAAAGGTTAAAGCCCTGTCGCAAAATTCACTTCTGTTATCGGCTGCTACTTTTTGAGTCTCAGCTGCCAGGCTGGAGGCCAAATAGCCCTTTTGGCTTTCCAGCACCCAGTTCTTAATGCAGGTACCGGAGGATCTAGGTAAACAAGCACTTCAAAAAGGAAACTACGCGTTCTGCAACAATTAAAATGAAGACTGACCTCTGCGGTTATGTATCCGTGTATCGATGCACAGATGCAGGCTGAAATGCAACAAAAGGTGGTTCAGTTGCTTGACAGGCTGCATCTGTCATACACTCCATGGATGGAGCCATAAGCCCATATTTTCTTTAAATTGCCTTTTTCTTTTAGTTACTACCTTCCAGACAAATAAGTGTATCTGCACAAAAGGCTTATTCCATCAGCAGCTGTGCATGCCACTGCTCCAGTGAGAAATGTTGGCATTTGCCTAGAATGTAAAAATTGTATGTTACAAATGCCCTGGAACCCAAACACTTGACTTACATCAATAGGAATCTTTTGTTGCTTTTGAAATTGCAGTAGTAAACTCTTCTAAGACCACTATCCTGGCTGTTGTGTCTTCAGATAACTTTTAACAGCTGTCCTGCTTAGTCGGCCTTTATCATAAGGGTTCTAGCTGGCAAGGAGCATGAAAGTTGATCTGACTGCAGCATTCCCTAATTGTCTAGTGCATTGTTTTCAGAGCAAAGGCAGTGTGGCCCATGCATTGCATGGCCTTACTCTCTCAAGCACAAATCTTAAGGTGGTATTGCACAGACCAATTTTATCCAACTCCATGGTTGGAAACAATCCGTTAATTTATTTTTCTGTAAAATCTAAACCAAAATAGATTAAAAAAAAAAAAACTTAAGACCCAACTTTTAAAAGTGCCCTGATTCAAATACTTCTGTCTGCTCTTGTTAGACAGCTAATGTCACTATTCCTGTGCAACATAGCCAAACATTTGTCTGCATCTATATGCGTCAGTCAAGTCTGCATGCAGATTAGGTGCACAGCTTTGAAAAACAGGTTCGTGCAGGCCCCTTTGTGACAGAATATAGGGTAACCATACGTCCGGTTTTTCCCAGACATGTCCGGCTTTTTGGCAATCAAACCCCCGTCCGGGGGGAATTGCCAAAAAGCCGAACATGTCCAGGAAAAATACGGCCGGGCACTTCCTCTCCCGCGGCTGCTCTGCTTCTCCCCTGACTCAGACTTTGGCTCTGTTTAAGAGCCAAGCTGCCCGAGCCAGCGCTACGGGCTTCGGGCAGCCCCCTTGCCTCCGGACCCTGCGCCGCCGGAGCAGAGCAGCTGGAGCCGGGGAGGAGAAGTGCCCGGCCGTATTTTTCCTGGACATGTTCGGCTTTTTGGCAATTCCCCCCGGAGGGGGGTTTGATTGCAAAAAAGCCGGACATGTCTGGGAAAAACCGGACGTATGGTTACCCTATATTCTGTCACAAAGGGGCCTGCACGAACCTGTTTTTCAAAGCTGTGCACCTAATCTGCATGCAGACTTGACTGACGCATATAGATGCAGACAAATGTTTGGCTATGTTGCACAGGAATAGTGACATTAGCTGTCTAACAAGAGCAGACAGAAGTTTTTAAATCAGGGCCTTTTTAAAAGTTGGGTTTTAAGTTTTTTTTTTTTTAATCTATTTTGGTTTAGATTTTACAGAAAA